GTCCGCGAGGATCGCACGGCTCCGCACGGCAAAATTTTAACAACCACGCCCCTCCACCGCATCTCCGCACCGCGCACCTAGGAAATTTTCTAACCACGCGGACGGTCGGATGCGGAAAAACATAGGGGACCGGCAAGAACTAGTACAGCAGAGGTTCGTAAATACAGACATTTGTATGATTCAGCTCTCAAAGATCACCGTGATCAACATGTTGTTAATAATTCTTGGAGAGAAATAGCTCGCTCTGTCGGAAAAGACGAGGACGCTGTTAAAAATGCTGGAATGCCATGTTGTAAACGGTAATTTTTACTTCTACTATGGTGTAGTGTTGGATGCATGTCGTAGAGCTCCGTGCTGCCCCCTACAGTTTGGGAGAATATTGGCTCACCGCAGAGACGAGCCGCACGAACCATAAACGCTGCGAGTTGTGAAGCGCGTTCCATCCGCGAGCCGCATCACCAAGCGGAAAGTGAATGCATCAAGCATAAACCAAGCTTTAGGCGTTCCTGGAACTGCACCTTTCTGGAATGAGATGTCTGATGCGTTTCCTGGTATCTGCTTTAGCCACTCCTCCAGTCTAGGGGTCACTGCCCCGAGCGCAAAGATGACCACCGGCACCACCGATGTCTTCACTCTCCAGGCTTTCTCAGGTTCTTCTTTAGCTGTTTGTACAGGACCAGAGTGTTTTCAAAACGGGATTTGCCGCGGCTCCCTGGGGAGGATAAAGGTCATTTATAAGATCAGACCGTGGCGGTAATGTGCGCAATCGTGGCAATTTTATGAAAGATTAGGTGATGGCGGGATAAAGGGGGTATGGGGGCGGTCTCTGCGCTGCCGCAGACTTCCGTTAATCTTGGACATAACTTGCTTTTTATTGAAATTGAAGCCGTGATCGTTACATTTTTTAAACAAGCAGCTCCTAAATGTGTCTGTTCCCATCAGTCCCTGTGCAGTCTCTGGTGATCTGAGCTTCAGCTCTAACAGAGAGGCTCGTGGAGCGCTGCGGCGCTCCAGTTTGCCATCTCAGCTGTATTTGTTCAAAACGCAAACCTTATTGCCTGTGTTTACTTTCATTTTCAATAAATTTGCCATCTGGAGCTCAGCAATAACTCCCCACGTCATCATGACATCTGCCTCTGTTGCGCCATGGCGCATACGACAGACCATCACCGCAATATTACTGCCAAGCGAGGCAGAATGAATGCCGCAAATTTTGTGCAACGCCATGCCGGCATGGCGCGTTTATAGACATACCATTGCTGTAATATGACGCCAATTTGCCGGCATAGTGTGTCTTATAAAAGAGGCTTTAGAGACCCTGCTGCTTCTCTAGTTTCTCACGTTCCTTTCTCCTGGTGTTGCATCACCTGGTATCGCCACATCGACCACAGCAGCTGTCCTCTGTTGTTTGTCCACCACCACAACGTCCGGTTGGTTCTCCGTCACCATTTAGTCAGTCTGGATCTGGAAGTCCCACAGGAGCTTGGCTCTCTCGTTCTCTACCACCTTAGGGGTGTTACCCACTTTGACCTTGGGACTTCCAGTCCATACTCTGCACAGGTGTTCCTGTACACGATGCCAGCCGCTAGGTTGTGGCGTTCCATGGATGCTTTCCCTGCCAGCATCTTAGATCCTGCAGTTCTGTTGTGGATCGTCTCAGGGGCCTTGGGCCTACACCTTGGGCCTTGTCTGGTGTGCTAGATCTTGGCTTCTGTTGCTCTGCTCTTGTGTATCCATGATGAGCCTCTGTGCTGTGCTTCAGACCAGCTCTTTCTAGCCATTGGTAGGATTTTTTGATGTCAGCCACTTCAGTTGTCTGTCTGGTACATCCCATGTAGAGGCTTGTCCTCCTACGATGGTGTCTCCTGCATCTCCTCTGTTCGCCGAGCATATCATCTGTTGGAGCCTTGCCCTGGATGTACTTATGGATCTTAGATGTTTCATCCTGGACGGTGGCTCTCACACTCACTAGTCCTCCTTCCTTACAGCTAGTGTTCAGTCTTAGGGTGCTGGGTTTGGGATGGAACCCTCCATGCATGGTTAGGAGCTTCTGTGTCGTAACATCTGTGGTCTGTGTTTCTTCCTTAGGCCAGTGTATTATTTCTGCAGGAGATCTGATTACTGGCAGGATGGAGCTGTTTATTACCCGGATCTTGTTCTTGCCTTAAGCTGACTTTGTTTTAGGTATTTGGCTGTGGCTCCTTCATCAAGGTTGCCATTAGCTTGTGATACCGAAGTACTTGTGGCTGTTCTCAATATCTGCTATTGTTCCTTCTGGGAGTGAGACCCCTTCTGTGTGGACTACCTTCCCTTTCTTTGTCCCCATCCGACCACACTTCTCAAGTCCGTATGACATTCCGATATCAGCGGTGTAGATCCTGGTGGTGTGGATCAGTGAGTTTATGTAAAGGGTCTATTTGATATAACGTCGTCTAGAGTAGAACGTGTAACCCATATCAACTACTCCCTGTCACATGACCCACGTCAGCTGATGTGAGGTCCCTCTCCTGATTGGCTCCTTCCACGTCACGGCAACCATGAAAGCCGGCTGTGGGGGAATACTTCCGGGTTCGACTCCTGCTGTGGCTGTAAGCTTATTGCTTGTAGAACGGCGTTGGAAAACAAAGCGTTTTTCTCCCCTTGATTCATCTATAAACTCATTTTACCTCAGCGGTCGGGTTTTCCCCCCCTTGTTGAACTGATCTTCTTCATATTGAAGTGGCCAGCTGGTAGGACCATTCTTTGTTGTTTTCCCCCTTGTAAGAAGCTGGACCCTAAGGAGGAATACCTTAAAAGTGAATTTTAAGAAAGAACGAAAGGAAACTTTAACAAAGGACCAAAAGGACTCTGAACAAAAAGGACTCTTGCACTGGAAGATCACATTGGTTTATTATTATTATGTGATGTGGGCATTTATTTATGTGTATGTTATATTAACTATTGTGTTTGTATTTGTGCATTTATTCAATATATTTTTGGCACAAGATATTGCAGTCTTTGGTCTCATCATTCACACCATCTAGGCTCCACAAAGAACAATTTCTTCTGCGCGTCAGTCAGTAACCACACCCATTGCAATACAACTAGCCCTTGAATAACTTTGCGTTACAAACGCCCTAAAGTACTTTACAACACAGTTAGTCATTCACCCATTCACACACACTTTCACACTGTGGTGGAGATGACACAAACACTGGCGCCACCGGTCCCTCCGACCACCAACAGCAGGTGAGGTAGGTTAAGTGTCTTGCCCAAGGACACAACAGCAGCATTCCCTGGTCGGAACCTTCAACCTTCTGAGTACTGGACAACCCGCTCTAACTCCAGAGCTTCTCCCTTTTCCATGGATGGTCGTGTTATTAAGTTTGATTTACTACAAAATGTTACCAAAGAGGCCAAGTCTTGTTACTCCCTCTAACAGGAAATGTCACTGAAATGTTTTTGTAAGAAAATACCAGAATATACAATAATTAATTGTGGTAATTGTATAAAATAATGGAATTACAAAACTTTATATAATTAATAAATGCAATGGAGATCTTGATGCAAGACGTTTAACGTCACATCATTAAGTCAGTTTGGTTGTTGTGTTGACAGTACGTTTAAAGGTGCATTATGTGGAAATGAAGTCTAAATGACATCCTGTGGTAAAATCTGGTTCCTGCAGCCACTTTAATCAACTGTGGAGCTTTTTGCCGGTCGTCGTCAAATTCCAGTAGTCGGCGCTGCAGCGTTAGCTCGCAGGAGACACGACACCCCCACACTCACGGATGGTAAACTGTCACTTCCCTCCTTCCTTTATTTTGAAAGGAGAAAAACTGATAATCCCAGCAGCTGGATATAAAATATATTTCAGTGTAACCTTCTTTCAAAATGACTGAAACAATAGAGTCTTTTGGGAATTTCTCACTGTCAAATTCTCCTTATATTCTTATATATTGCTAGCCTAGTGAACTAGACCAAATTCTTGCTTTGCAAAGAATGGTCTAGGCATGCTCCATTGGAACCTCGCAGCTCCTACCAGGACTCTGGCTAGCCAATCACAGCTCTCTATAGGGGTTTCAAACACATAAAGAGCTGTGATTGGTCCATAATGGTGGGCCAATCATAGTGCTCTATCTGCTTAGTGAACAAATCACAGAGCTTTATCCGCTTTGTGGGCCAATCAGGGCACTCCATATGCCTGGTGGGTGGGATGATGCAACAGAGTGAAACAAGAGTATGTCACATTCTTTGTCCAGTAGCATGCGGAGATCATTTGAAAGACAACGCTAGAACCCGCCCCACAACCGAGAGCCGTCAATGGAGCGTGGCCAGACTAAATAATACATTTATTTAGTCTGGCTTGCCAGGCAAACATATTGTACCTTTAAATGTGAATTTAGTGATTTCAAAAAACTCTGAAAATCCTGGAATGTGTTTCATCAGGACAAGAACGCTCTTAGAAATTCCACTTCATGGTGGTGACGTTTTCTAAAGCTGAACAAAAAGTGAGATTAGTGATTTGTTTGTTTTGATGTTTATTTAACTTTCACTCCAAGAAAAAAAATCTCCCTTTTTAAGTACTTTTCATTCATTTGGACCAGTTATGAAACTATGTAAAATATAACAAAAGTTAAATTAATTTTAGATCAACAACATCGGAATGAAATAATAATTAATTCTTATTCCAACATTCCCACATTTGTTTGGAGTTTTCTAAAATGGATTGTACCAAGCCAGATTAAAAGCTGAGAAAAGCTCCATTAACAAGTAATTTAGTCTTCAGGTTTATATTTTGACTTTGGTTCTGCTCATGAGCTCAGTTTGAGGTCCTTGGTTGAACCTTCATGCGATAAGCTTTAGGAGTTAAGGTGACACCATAAACAGGAGTGTAGTCTGGTTCTCCTGCATCCTCTGGCCAGATGAACTTATACTTCCTCAGCAGAGTCACTAATATGAGGAAGAGCTCCATACGAGCCAGACTCTCTCCAAGACACACCCGAGGACCTGAGGGACACAAAACAACGTCAGAAACGTTTTATTTCAACCATTTGTTGCCACAATTGAACTGAAATCCACCTGCAGAGAAAGGCATGAAGGCCTCTGGTTTGACGAATTCTCCCTCCTCGTTCAGGAAGTTCTCAGGATTGAACTCATGAGGGAATTTCCACTGACCCTCCTCCCTCAGCACCGAGGCCATGTTCTGGATGATCATCGTTCCCTGAAGACGGAAACGTAAAAATAAAGGGATGAAAGGTCCACATTCGTGTTTCTCTGTTGTAAAAACAGGTTTCCTCTCACTTTGGGAATGGAATATCCCATCAGTTCTGTGTCTTTAGTTGTGCAGTGGAAGACGCTGAGAGGAACGGTGTTGGCGACTCTCTGGACCTCATGGATCACAGCCTGGAGGAAAAAGAAATTTGGATTACTTTAAAAGATGACGAGACTTCTGCTCCGATCAGATGTCACTGGAGCGTTACCTGCACATACGGCATGTTCTGTCTGTCATCGTAGGTGGCCTGGTCCTTCCCTTGCAGCTCCTGGTCGATCTCCTGCTGACATCGCTCTGTTGGATTAGGTTCATTTTACTTCCTGTATTTCTTCAGGATTCCATCTAATTCATGCAGATCTACTTTACTTTTCACACAGAAGTCTAAAATACTAATGCTGACACTGATGGGCCATTCCCATCTGTACCGGGTCGGCCCGGGCCGGGTAGCGTAGGTTGTTTACATATCTGGGTGGCCTGGTATTTTTCCGGGCCAACCAAGGCTCATTCTCAGCCCTCTTCTCGAGGGGGTCTGCTTCAGGCCGACCAGGGCCAACACACCCACTGCTGACAGCAAATTCACACCTTCCATTAGAGCAAGCCTCTGATTGGTGGGTAGAGTCAGCCCACATGGGCTCAAGGCAAGGATGTGTGGAATCAACCGGGCCAGGCTGGGGCCGACTGGGGCTAACCGGCCCGGGCCGACCCGGTACAGATGGGAATGGCCCATAAAACGCTGATTGTCTTGTGGAGGAGGACCTTGTACATGAGGGTAGTTCATCAGATAGAGAAAAGCAGTGAGCAGGGTGTTGGAGGTGGTGTCAGTCCCAGCAAAGTGAAGATCTAGAATGTAGTTTGTGAGCTGTTCCTCTGAGAACGAAGAGCCATCATCTCCTCTCTGAAAAGGCAGAAAAATACAGCTTTTAGGTGGGATTTCATGAGAAGAACGGATAATAAAGAGTAATTCTCTACCTTTAAAGTCATTTACTAAATGTTTTAGGAAGTCAGGCAACTGCTGCTATTCTCACCTTCTCCAGCTCATCCAGGTAGCAGTCGAGGAAGTCCCTTGGCTCGTTGGGAACTCTGGTCTTCTTGTGCTCGTTCACCAAGCGAAAAGCAAAATCCTGACAAGTCTGAGAATGGAAAAAATGTGCAGGAGTGAGAACAGCTAAATCCATTTGGCTGTGGGGCAGAGGGAAGAGGTCATCTCTGGTGTCGGATGGGCTGGATTTTATTTCAGGAAACTGGCTGAGTGTAGCAAAGCAGAGTGAGAGGATTATGGATCAGGATGCAGTTAAAGATGGAGGACTGAAGCCCAAAACACAAAACTGGGATAGAAGGGTGGTTACAGATGTTTCGGACAGACCTTATAATTCTCAAAGGCTTTCCCAAATGGTAGAGGCAGATGACGAACACCAGGAATAGAGTCATACACCTGTAAACACACAAACTCTTTATTAGTCTACAGATATGCAAACCCCGTTTTCTGGTTTTCTTACACTAATCTGAAGACTACATGTAAAAACAGAGAGGGCACCCACCTAAGTTGTACAGTATGTAAGGCTAAAGTAAACTCAGGAAAACGTGGAATAAAAGCACCAATGAGTCTTTCCCGTTTAATGAGTGAAACACCTCAGAAACCTTTTAGTGTCTTTATTTTTTAAGCCTACCATCATCACATGCAAAAAAGAAATCTCCTCCAGCTCAACCTCTAAAACCAAACGTCTTCTCATCCCAGACAAACTAACGGTCTTGCTTCATCAAAGGTAGCTAGAGAGTTGGGTTGGCCTTTAAAGGGACTTTACGGAGTTTTGAATTTCTGTGCTCGCGATCGCCCCCTCAGGCCAAAAGCGTAACGGCAGCTTCAATAGTAGGCTCGTGCACGAGGCGCGCATGCTGTACGTGCACACTCCTTAACGAAAATAACAGCTGAGACAGTCGTGTGTGTGTGTGTGTGTGTGTGTGTGTGTGTGTGTGTGTGTGTGTGTGTGTGTGTGTGTGTGTGTGTGTGTGTGTGTGTGTGTGTGTGTGTGTGTGTGTGTGTGTGTGTGTGTGTGTGTGTGTGTGTGTGTGTGTGTGTGTGTGTGTGTGTGTGTGTGTGTGTGTGTGTGGGGCCCGGAGGACAGAGGACAGGAGAACGCGCAGCTAATTAAATAATTTGTTTCTGTACCTTTCTCTTCAGCACAGCCGACAAAGGTTTATGATGGGTCAGTCCTCCTGCATGCTCAGATCATTCCCTTCCCTTGCTTGAAAAATTGTTCCAAAGTGAAAGTTGAACCCACATCTTTTTTATCTGTCAATTCAATGCCGTTCGGCGAGTCTCAAATAAAATTTTGGGCATCTTACTGTAAAAAAATATACCATTAATGTAAAAAAGAAACTCTAAATAAACTATGTTCACATCCAGAATCAAAGCCAGGTCTTCTGCATGAGAGTCTGATGTTTTACTAGGTGAGCTAAAGCGCCAGTGATGTCCATGGTATCTGTAACGTTTATATCCTTGATGGCAGCTGAAACAACGTTCAAAGAACGGTTCGGAGTGAAAATGGCTATTTTGTTGCTAATTTGCAGGAAATATCTAGAAGAAAGTTCTACAGAAAGTAGCTAAGGGTCCTCAGAAATGTAGCTAGCTTTGTCACTAGGCGTTAGGAACAGCGACAAAGTGGCACTGCCTCTCTCTCTGCTGCTAAAGCTACGGATAGCAAATGCTACGGGCGATGCCTGAGCGTGAACGCGCATGAAGCAGCCTGCTCGACCCGAGCATCTCTCTTTTTCTGTGATTTTACAGAAAAACAGCCAATCACAGTAAAAATGCCAGGGCTCATTCTACAGGACCAGGACATTGCAGGAGAATGTATGAAGAAGACATTTATTATTTCTATACATGTTTTGGCTGTCAAACTTCCATAATGTCCCTTTAAAGATGTTGCCTTTGGCGCTTACACATTAGCATTGGCACGGCCAGGTATGGGTGGGTATCAAGAGCAACGCCTTCCTGCGGTGTCCGTGAGGGCACACGGGGTTGGTTAGTGTTCCTCCCAAGATGTGTATATAAACATGTGTTTCTATGGTTCCTCCTACGTCCGTCACAGTGGTGGGCGGGGTTTGAGCGGGTGAGTTTGACTGACTTCCGGGGAGGTTTGTTGAGACAAACGGCTCTCTACAGGGACTCGGCTCCCATCGTTCACTTAGAAAACCCATTCAAAAGATTCAATTTGTTCGTGAACGTCACATCACTAGTGCAGTCGCTGGTTTAGCGTGAGATATTGGAGGTGTGGTGTGTGAAGAGGGTCAAATGCGTGTGTGAGTGGGTGAGACTTGGCAGCTCTGCTAAGCCTGATATCACTCCATTCATCTGAGGATTGCCAGCTAGCTATGCCGACACCATGCTCAAAACAATCCAAACTCATTACCAGCTACCGGAACCAGAGCGTCTTCAAAACGGAGGGGGAACATGCGTTCTCAGTTCTGGCTCCAACGCTCTGGAACCAGAACCAGTGTCCTCTGAGTGTTGGGCAGGCGCCATCGCTTCAGGCTTAAGTCTCGCCTGCAGACACATTTTTATGTGATGGAGTTTCAGCATTAGGGATCACAACATCTTTTTTTGTTTTTATTGTCTTTTAGCTGGCTTAGCATGTTTTAATGTTAGTTTCCTGTTTTTATTCAACATTCTTTTGTTGTTAGGATCGTTTTTAGTTTTTATCTTTCTTGTAATGAAACAGCATCAGTATATATGTTCCTATTGTGAGTTTTATGGTCGTGTTCAGCACCTTGGACGACTGATAAGGTCGGAGAAGGTGCTTTATAATTGAATGAATGAACAAATGAACGAATGATTGAATGAATGAATGAATGAATGAATGAATGAATGAATGAATGAATGAATGAACTTTTCAGAGTGTATCTCCCACCCCAGCACCTACCGTGCACCTTCCTTTGTGTGCTTCACGCCGTTTCGACACCATCAGCTCTGACAGAGCCTGAGTAGCAGTAGCAGTTGTGTGAGACGTGTAATTAGCCTCAGTAGTTGGGCAGCAGTAGCTCAGGTGGTAGAGCGGGTTGCCTCATGATCGGAGGGTCATGGGTTCGATTCCAGCTCCCGCCAGGGGTATCCTGCTGTTGTGTCCTTGGGCAAGACACTTCACCCAACTTGCCTGTGTTTGTGGTGGTCAGAGGGGTCGACGGCGCCAAATGGCAGCCTCGCCTCTGTCAGACCTCCCCAGGGCGGCTGTGGCTACAAGCAGCTTACCATCACTAGCAGTGTGTGAATGTGAGAGTGTGAAAGCGTCTTTGGGTGTCTAGAAAAGCGCTATATAAGTTCAATGCATTATTATTATTATTACCCAACCTCCAACCTGATGTTTCAGCTCTTAGCTGACTTTTGTGACCCGTGCGTGCTTCAGTGCGACTCACCATGGCCCACGGTCCATTGGCTATCTTGGCGTTCTCGGTGAAACACTGAACAATAACTTTGATCCGCTGATCGTCGTATTCGTAACGCGCTCCAAACAGAACCTGGCAGATGATGTTGGAGGCTGCGTTGTGGAACATAACTCGAGGACACAGGGTGCTGCCTGGAAAAAAAGCAAAACATCCTGAGTTGTGCTTAAAGTGAACAGGTTTTATTATTAGGAGATCTTTATGATGTTGTGACAAATTTAAGCAAAAATATCTGGGAAAGAAACAATATTTATTTTCCACTAGGCGACGTGTCTGCTGCCTCCATGCTGGGCGTTTTCCTCAAAAACAAACATCCTGAAGTTAATTTTAAACTGATCAGATAAAGCAATCACAAAGTGCAGTTCTGTGGATCTAAAGGTGACAGACCGATGCTCTTCTCCAGTGTCTTGATGGTGTACTGAATCTCGTCCAATATCCTGTTCTCCATGGATTTCTTTCCCAGACCAAAGTTCCTCAAAGTCATCAGAGCGAAGCGTCGATGCTCCCTCCAGCTGGAGCCGTAATCGGCCAGAATGACTCCTGAGGCGGCACACAAGCAACAGAGGTGCACCTTTAGGCTGTATGTAGACGGCAGCTGAAAGAATTTTACTATTATCACGCAGAAAGCCTTAGAATAAAAACTGGCTGAGCTAGCGAGTTCAGAAACAAACAAGTCTCTTCTAAAATGTGTATTTTTTCAATTTACAGTAACTACTACAGCATCGTCACAAAATCACACTAAAACACATCTTAAAGCTTCCAGGATCAGGATTAGTACCTTCATCAGAAACCTGTCATGTCCAGTCCTTTACACGTCTGCTGCCCCCTAGTGGAGGAGCTACAGTTGGCAAGGGCTACTTTTATTTCTTTGTTGCTGTTAAATTAGACAATAGACTGCATTTCTATGAATTTATACTCCAGGGTTTAAAGGCTGCAATCCAAACGTGTTTGGGTAACTAAAACATGGAGCAACACGCAGAAAACCGCCCATAAAAGGACTCTGTCCATCCCTCACTGCAGTCTTTAGTCGTTTTCTTTCCCTCCTTCAGCAGCTGCCAACATGCTGCAGCACGTTCTCTCTGGCTTTCTGCCTTTCTTCAAACACCAAACAGGAGCAGAAACTTCTCTGGTGCTTGTTGCCTACAAAACCACGTTCTGTACAGATTAACCTCTACCTTTCCTCTGGGTGACATCGTTAACAAGCAGGTCTTGAGGTCTTCCAGCAAAATCTGCAGCTTTGGTCATGATGGCTTCCTTCACTGTCTCCAGCCCGTTGATGACTACAGCCGCTTTGCGGCCGATGAACAGACTGTACACGTCTCCATAAGTTGTCCTCAGCTAGAAGACATCATAAAGAAGCAGAGGTGATAATTTCGCAGCTGCATAAAAGACAATTAATCAATTTCCCTCTGGGATTAATAAAGTATTTTTGAATTTGAATTGAATTGAATTGAATTTAGACCTCATTTATGACGTTATCATGTCTCAGTTTGTTTCGGTAGACTCTCTTTTTAAAAGGTCCAGCTTGTAAAAATGAAAAGTTCACTGAACAACACTGGTTGGCTGTGGTCCAAGTGTGCAGCAGTACTTGTGTTACGTAATCACTATTGCAGCAGAAGTAACAGGCTGCAGGCAGGTTTAAAGTGCAACCTTACGCAAGGTGGAAAATGAAAACTTGCACCATGTTTCTTACCCTCTCAAAGTCCTTCAAGGGGTTTTCTAGATTCAGTTCCAAAAGGTTCCCCACTACAGGAAGGATGGGCGGTCCGGGTGGGAAGTTCTTGGGCCTTCCAGATCTGAGCTGAAGAAAAATAAACAGAACACAGAGCAACACCAGCAGCACGGAAACAAACATGATAGCTTGGACTTGTCCAAACTGGAGTCACTCTGTTCATGGGAGTAAAGGGTGACTGAGCTGAGCCTAAGCCCCGCCTCCTCCTGTGTTCCTGAAGATGAGGCGGCTCTAGCAAACAGCTGCTCAGGTCACTCGGGGTGGCCAATCCTGGTCCTCCCGAGCCACCGTCCTGCACGTCTGCTTCAGCACAGCTGTTTTAATCGGCCGTGATGATCAGACCGCTGCAGAGTCGGATGACCTGCTGAACAGGTAATTGAATCATTCTGGATTTGGAGGACCGGGGCCAAATACCACTGTTCTCAAATGAATACCAGATAAATAAAAAACAACTTCAGCCGTCAAACCTCTCCTTACTGCAACCGTTGTACCTTTAGTGGGCGTACATACCGTAAATCCTCTAATACAGGCCCGGGCCTGTATTAGAGGATTTACGGTATGCGTGTATAATTCTTTAGAGTTCAAAAGGAGATAATCTACAAAAGACAAAACAAACAAACTAAAAATGTGCAATGTGATGAAAGAATTCACTGTCTTCAAATCTCCTCGTCGTTTTCCACGGAGTCATTTAAAGTTACTGTAAATGCAGCAAAGTTAAACAAGGTGAGAACAAAGAGAGTGAAGGAGCTTCAAGTCTGTCGACACCACTGTGTGATGGGGATGCTGCGGCCTTACCGCACTTCCTCCAACACCATCGTCACAGAATTCCTGAGCTTTCACTCACATGGAGCCAAAGTCAGTCAGACACTCGTTCATCTACGTTCAGCTCTTTTTCCTCCTCTATCTCACACTGAAACCCTGTAAAGTCTCAGTAGTCATGGACCAGAGAGCAGCCAGCGATTCACTGGAAGTAGTTTCTGATACATTAGGCAAACAGACGTGGTTGTTCAAGGAAGGGGAACTGGGTAAAAAGGCCAAAACAAAAGTAAAGTTGACCTCTGAATATGTCTGCAAGGATGTTTAAGAAAGGAAGTGAAAGAAAAGCTGATTAAACATCAGAAAATCACCAGAATGAATGAATGAGTTTTTTCATCAGTGATGAAACATTTCCACAGATTTTTATACAATTTTATCCTCAAAAGAATGATCGACTGCAACATCTCTACACACTTCCATCATGAAAACCCAACAGATTCTAGGGAGAGAAGAAAGAAATGAAGTCTCAGCGTTCAAAACTGGAGAATGGAGGAGCTAACTTATGTTTACCTTTTACATGTCTTACACCAGTTTGGCTTCTGTTTACTATTTCACCGTCCTCAGTTCTTCAAATGAGAACATTTTATCTTTGGAGATCATTATTTCTTAAAATTAAAACAACCTATGAAGAAAAAAAATCTAAGCAACTAAATCACGACATTTATTTGTGAGAAAGAGAAAAACAAAAACAGAAGAAGACTGGAAAAAAGAACAAAAAACAGTTTTAATCCGGTCAGCCTCTTAACATGGAAATAATCCATTAGAATCACACTAAAGAAAACTGGAGAAGCAGAAACCAGGGTTTAATCCCACTTTGACCATTATAGACCCACGAGTGATAGAAACTCCAACCATTTAAAACAACTCCTGTCCCAGAGGGACAAATCACAACAAGAGTCGTCTCAAAGACCTTCACACAGTAAACATTCCAAACCAGGTCAGTTCATTAAGCCAATCAGAAAAAAGTTTCCCGCATAAGGAACCCAGCAGATTGCATCGAGTCACTGACTAGTGTCAGAGGCTTTACAGCAATCCTCATACTAAGCAAGAATGCGGCGACAGTGGAGAGGAAAACTCCCTTTTAACAGGAAGAAACCTCCCGAGGCTGCGCAGTGGCGCAGTGGTTAGAGCTGTTGCCTTGCAGCAAGAAGGTCCTGGGTTCATTTCCCGGCCTGGGATCTTTCTGCATGGAGTTGACATGTTCTCCCTGTGCATGCGTGGGCTCTCTCCAGGTACTTCCTCCCACAGTCCAAAAACATGACTGTTAGGTTAATTGGTCTGTCTAAATTGTCCTTAGGTGTGTGTGTGTGTGTGCATGATTCTTTGTCCTGTGTGTCTCTGTGTTGCCCTGCGATGGACTGGCTCTTTGTCCAGGGTGTACCCCGCCTGATTGCCCATTGACCGCTGGAGATAGGCACCGCCCCCCGCGACCCTACATGGACAAGCAGGCTCAGACAATGGATGGATGGATGGATGGATGAACCTCCAGAGGATCATGGCTCAGTATAAGCAGCTATCCACCATGACTCACTGGGGATGGAGAAGGCAGAACACACACACACACACACACACGCACACTCACCAACTCCAGCCCACCCACACACAAACACACAACATATATACCAAGTAATGTTTCTATGGTTACATTGCGATTCCTTAGTTATCCTAGTGAATCTATAATTAAACAGGTAAACTAGTAGTAGCACATCCAATGTCGAAGAAAGTAGAATGTTATTATCAGGAGAGGGAGAATGATTAAATGGTTAGCAACGGTGTTCAAGCCGATGGCCCCCTCCATGAGGCTTCAAGAGCTCAGCAGAACATCATTGTAGCTTCTTCTGGGGAGAAAAACACTCAGAGAAAAAATAAAGTTAACAGCTGAGTGTGGAAAGTGGTCAGTGTGTCCTCCAGCAGTCTAAGCCTACAGCAGCATATCTACAGAGATAACTCTAGATGACCTAGCCTTTTAGATGGAGGCATGTTGGAAGCAGGGCAAGGGAGCAGTTTAGTTGTTTCCCTGCTTCAACTCACCTGATTTCAGTCAGCAGGTGAATAGCAGACTTCTGCAGAGCTTGATAGGCTCCTGAACAGATGACTCATGAGTTGGAATAGGGAAGCAACTAAAACATGCTGAAGGGAAGGAAATCGTCTACCCCTGATCTAAAATGATTTGTAGGTCCTTTTTAAGAGGACTCTTTACTCTAATAAATATGAGTTAATGAGGAAGATTATCGTAAAGCAGCTGAAAGGTGTGTTGGGAAAGCCAAAAGGTCAACTTAAGACTCATTGTGGGTTATTCAGTCTCTAATAATACACCTCCTCCGTCTGTCTAAACATTCCTGACAGAGCCCTCCCAGGATGATGTAGAGTGCAAGACTCATCTGCTGATGTATTACATCTATTTCCAGTTCATGCAGACATTCTGCTGAGGGACCACTACAGTTCTAGTTTCCTGTCTGTGGAGCATGATTCTTCTCCCCGTTGCCATCTCCGTCCAGTTTTACGTCTCATTCTTCAAACGATGCAGATCACATGCCAAAATACGACATGGGTTTAAGATTCCTAGTGTTCCCATGGAGCTCAGGGGCGTCATTTATGATGCTCACAGCACAGCAGGTGAGACGGCAAAATGGTGAATTTAGGTTGCATTTTCCCTTGCTTGTGCACACGCACATGCACGCACAACATCTGCAGTCACCACCACCCTCCAGTCCATAAACTCAGGAAAAAAAGAGGATCTGAGCGTACATATGTTATTTAAGAGTTACTGTGTGCACGTGTGTCTTCAATTTTTCATGCATTTGCACTTTTTGGTGTACTAACTGTGATAAGGTTTGTATTAATTAGTGTGATTGATGAGTAGACATAAGTGACACTCGTGCAGAAAGCTTTACAATGGGTTCACCATGGGTCTCTGTTGCTCTCACCGCTGCAACAATGCGGTGCCACTGGAAGACCAGAAAAGCTCACCTATAAGCACCTCCAGTCTGTGAAACTACGTTTTCTAGACCTCTTGGTTGCCATAGTTACCCGTGAAGGTCCACACACCAGCCGGCTTCTGCATTTGCAGAATGTTCATAAGGTCCTTTGCATCAACATATATACTGGACAATTTGTGTCCATAGGCTCCAATTTTAAGTTTTTGTGCTAAAATGGGAGGTGGCCACCACCGCCATTTTGACCGTGTCACAGGTTCCGTCAAGCCCAGACAATTCCACAAAAGGGAAGAGAGGTGGAGCTGAGGGTGGGGCTGTAAGGCTGGGATCAAATGACGACACCCGTCGAACTGAAGTGATGTAGCTACAAGCTAACCCAAAGCTAACACGGAGGTGGGAGCTAAGCTAACGGAGGTAGCTACCTAGCTACAACCGCAGTTAACTGTGCACAACACTTCTGCTTCTGAGTCAGAGATACGCCGGGCTGACCGCTGGGTAAAACCGGGTGGAACACGGAGGTTTCCATCCAAGAGCTCCACAAGCCAGCAGCCGCGCAGCAGACAGGCGCCGCAATCAGAGATGCGCCGAGCTGCCGCTGGGGACAACCGGGTGCATTGACAATTTATGGCAAAAAGTGTGTGTGTGTGTGTGTGTGTGTGTGTGTGTGTGTGTGTGTGCGCGTGTGGGCGTGCGTGTGTGCGTGTGTGTGTGTGTGTCTGTGTGTGTGTGTGCGTGCGTGCGTGTGTGTGTGTGTGTGTGTGTGTGTGTGTGTGTGTGTGTGTGTGTGTGTCTGTGTGTGTGTGTGTGTGTGTGTGTGTGTGCGTGTGTGTATTCCAGTATGGCTGCAAAACAAACTTTTTGCCGAGCTTCAGACTTTCAGTAAAGGTTCTACTCAGTTTTATAAATGGGGCCTCAGTACTTCCCATGTGACTGCGAACTGTAATGGAGGTCAGACGATTGTTAATTTGACTCTAAAATCAAAAGGATCTTTTCTGCATCGTCCGCCAGATGAAGGGTCTGATTTCAGGCTTTAGATTCAAAAGAAGCATCCGGTATCAGACCAAAAATAATCGGACAAATTTTGTTGCAGAAAGTTTTTCTGATACCTTTTTTGCTTTTTCTGAAGTTTTCTTTCCTCTGTAAAAAGCATCAGGAGAAGAAAAGACCTGGGCTGACCACGCGGTCATCCTGGCCCAATGCCAGCATACTAGACACAGCTTCCATCTTCATTTCCTGTTTTCTGGTAAAACCCCAAGAATGAGTATTCAGCGTTATATCTGGACAGATGTTAATGAAATGTTCAGTAAGCAACAGTTGGATGTTCATCTGTCTGATGGATTTACCAAAGAAGCTCCAGATTCCTCCTGGGCTTCTACATTCAACTCTAGATTCTCTGTGTTTCTGTTTATCAGATGTTTGCTTGGGTTCATCATTAGGAGCCAACATTTGTTGATTTCCACAGATAAACAGCAGTTATTTAAAGCAAATGTCCCATTTGCCATCATCGCACAGCTGAAGTTACATCTCCACATGTGACCCATCTCCGTGAGGAGCAGTGAGCTGCAACTGTGGTCGAGCTCGGGATCTATTTGGTGGTTTTCTCCCAAATCCAACCCCTTATAGCTGAGTGTCAGGTGGGGATGCATTGGGTCCTGTTTTTAAAGTCTCTGGTACAACCCAACTGTGGATTTGAACCCACGATCCGAACCCAGGGCGGAGACTCTACCACTAGGCTCGGTCCTGATAGATTAATATGAAAATGTTGAATCCAGTTTTGTTGCTGAGACTGGTTGAGTCAGTTACTGTACGTCGTTAAACCAGTTTACTGTTTGAACTGACTCAGATTACAGATGTTGGATTATGAAATCTCAGGTTAAAATTGGACCAGACTAGGAGTATCTAGAGCAGAATATGGCTAATGACACAGACACGCACTGAATGACTCCATCCATCCATTATCCAGAGTCGGGTCGCGGAGGCAGCAGCAGCCCAAGCAGGGAGACCCAGACTTCCCTCTCCCCAGCCACTTGGGCCAGCTCCTCCGGGGGAATCCCAAGGTATTCCCTGGTCAGCTGAGACATAGTCTCTCCAGGGTGTCCTGGGTCTTCCTTTAGGTCTTCTCCAGGTTGGACGTGCCTGGAAAACCTCACCAGGAGGCATCCTAATCAGATGCCTGAGCCACCTCAACTGGCTCCTCTCGATGTGGAGGAGCAGTGGGTCTACTCCGAGCCCCTCCCGAATGACCGAGCTTCTCACCCTATCTCTAAGGGAGAGCCCAGCCACTCTGCAGAGAAACTCATTTCGGCCGCTTGTATCCGTGATCTCGTTCTTTCGGTCACTACCCAAAGCTTGTGACCATAGGTGAGGGCAGGAACATAGATCGACCGATAAATTGAGAGCTTTGTCTTCTGGCTCAGCTCTCTTCACCACGACAGACCGGTACAATGCCCGCATCACTGCAGACTGAAATACTCTACAGTTACAAAACTTTTATGAGTACACTCAATTTGTCCAACTGCGTACCTTCCACTCTAACCCCAAGCCAGTTACCTCTGGAGTTCCTCAGGGCTCAGTCTTAGGTCCCCTTCTCTTCATAATCTACTTACTCCCACTTGGCAATATCTTCAGGAAATTTAATATTCATTTTCACTGCTACGCCGATGACACCCAGCTCTACTTCTCTACCCAACCAAACCCCCCGCTCCCTTCATCCTCCCTTCTCAGTTGCCTCACCGAAGTCAAATCCTGGCTTTCTTCTAACTTTCTACAGCTCAACAGCAATAAGACTGAGATCCTCCTCATTGGCACCAAGACCAGTTCATTCTCACTCAGCTTCGACAACACCACACTTCTCCCCACCGCCAAAGCTAAGAGCTTGTGTGTCATCTTAGACAACACCTTATCCTTCATTCCTCATATTAACAATACAATAAAAACTGCTTATTTTCATCTTCGCAATGTCATTCGGCTCCGCCCCTCCCTCAGTCAGCACTCCACTGCTATTTTGGTCCACAGCCTGGTCACCAGCCGCATCGATTACTGCAACGCCCTCCTCTCCGGTCTCCTTCTAAAATCACTCAACAAGCTACAGTTAGTCCAAAATTCAGCTGCCCGGATAATCACCAAGACCTCCACATTTGATCACATCACCCCGGTCCTGCAACAACTTCACTGGCTCCCTGTCAAATACAGAATTGACTATAAGATACTTCTTCATGCCTTTAAAGCCATCCATAATCTCGCTCCCCCTTATCTTTCTAATCTCCTCCATATTGTCACTCCCACTCGCTCTCTCCGATCATCATCTTCACCTTCCCTGTCTGTTCCTCACACTTGTCTCTGTACTATGGGAGCGAGAGCTTTCAGCCACTCAGCTCCAAAACTCTGGAACACTCTACCGCCTGACCTCCGCAATGTAAACTCCTTCTCAACCCTCAAGTCTAAACTCAAAACTCACACGTTCCGCCTGGCTTACTCACTGTAACTGTCCTCCTTCCATCTACTCTTTTTAGTCTATTATCCATTGTACTGCTCTGACTCTACCCTTGGGAATTACTCTTTGCACTTATTTCTTGTTGTTTGTATTGCTTGCTGTTCCTTATATTTTGTCTTGTACCTTGAGAGCTTTGAAAGGCGCTTGAAATAAAATGTATTATTATTATTATTATTATCACAGCACATATTTTATACAGTGTAGTTATGTTGCTGCCATGGTTTACCCTCAGCAGGAACACTAAACAGAGCTTTGACTCAAAGCTTCATGAAGAAACAGAATCCTCGTGACAAAAACCCGGAGTACCTTGTACGGGCAGCGTTTGATCCTCTGAAATCCACAGAAAGCACTCGCTGCTCATCAGAAAAGCAGCCAGAGGTCAAAGAGGGGAGGTGAGGTGGGAAGTGAGAGTGAATCCGTCTGAAGGGAGGGACAGACTTCTGTATAAATACCGAAGTGAGCTGGACACACGAGGACAGCGAGGAACCTGAGCAGCTTTCACCACAGAGAAGAAGACATCTGCAATGTCTCGGCCCAACGGTAAGCCCGGTGTCTGCTGCGCTTCTGACAAGTTCCGTGAGTTAAAGAGGAGCTGGTTTATGAGTTCACAATTTGGTGCTAGATGCCCCGACCTCATTCCTGCAGCAAACGCTGGAGCAGCTTTTAAATCAGAACAAAACACTTTAAAAGCTTTTCCTTTTTAAATTTAGCACTTTTTCAGGAAGTCTTCATATCTTCATTTATCTTCATCTCCAGTTCTTTTGCATCGTATTTAAACTTTAACTGTAAATCGTTTAATTAATAGTTGTATGAAACAGTTTGTTTTTAATGCTTAAGAGGAGGAGGTCTCTGAACACACGCTTGTCTCTCAGGAGGTTGATGGCTTTCAGAATTCAGATTCTGTCTTTTTGCTTTCATCAGATTTCCGCCTGAACGTGGACCTGAGGAGTTATGAGAATAACTCTGCTCATCGGACTGCGGATATCGATCGGAGGCGTTTGATTGTGCGCCGGTGTCAGCCCTTCTACATCACGGTGCAGTGCTCCGACTCTCAGCTGCTCCAGAACAAGCTGGAGCTGATGCTGCACCTGGGTGAGTTCAGCGTGGTCAGCTGTTTCCACAGACCAAGTTAGAGCTTCGTAAACGTTTAGGCTCCCGGCCCTCAAACTCCTCTGACTCTGAACATTGTTGGTTTAACACTAACGGAAGAAAATTGACAAACCGCTCTACCTCCTCAGCCACTGCTGATCTGATCACTATCAATCAATCAATCAATCAATACTTTATTAATCCTAGAGGGAAATTAGTCATGCTGTCAGAATTATTTCTGTT